AGGAACTTAGAAGTCTAATGAGGGAGACATACGAACAACTATGTACCATGAAGGTACAGACAGGGTAAATTGGAGTTAATCTTAGAGGGAAGGCATTAGAATTAAGAGGGAACAAGAAAGGTTTCCCATAGTTTCAATTTTTTTTTTCTTTTTGGATTTCTGCAAATAGCTGGAATTCCAGAAACCTACCTGGAGAAATCCAATATTACCATAAGGAAGCTAGACATTTAACCAGAAATCATATCATTTCAATACGATATGTAGTTAAATGTCTAGCCAGTTTGCTTCAAGTTGTTTTGCACTATTTGAAATATTCTGTTTCAAGATAATGGAGTGAAATAATATTACCAGTAAATAAACTACTAAAATATAACCCAGATGGAAAATCATATTGCATAAACATAAAGACTTCTAATGGATTTGGATAATGGTGAATAGCTAAAATACTAGAAACCCATGTGAAGAAGTTTAATATTACTATGTGGAAGCTAGGCAGCTAACAATAATTCATACCTTTCACCTATATGATAAGGAAATAAACAGGGTCTGGACTTGTGATTTCATTAATACAAGGAACTCCCAGGTAAGGAAACTTCCTCTATCAAGTTGACACTTTCTATGCAACTTAGTGAGTCTTAAAGAGTTGCTTAGCACCCTGAGGGCTTAAGTGACTTGCCCAAGGTCACACAATCAATATACCTGAGAGATCAAACTTGAAACCAGGTCTTCAGTGCGTCAAGGCTAGCTCTCTATTACACCATGCTGTCTAAAGCTTTAGGATAATGCATTTTCAAAAGTCCAACTCGATTTCTCAAATTTATTTTGTATTACTTGAAATAATGAGATATCTCTTTAAACTAAGGGAGTAAATTGTTATTAGGAAACAAAATATTAAAGTCATTATGGTTGCATGATGACTTGGCTGTTGGTCCTACTAGCCGGCTGATGGCCCATGTAGCCAGTCCCACATGGGGTATCATCCTCCTAACTCTGCTACACATGGCAACTTTTGTCTGGGATTTTTTAGGTGTTTTTTTTTCCCTTTCCCAAAGGTGTTTCATAGAATCACATATAATTTTTTTGCACCCTGCCTCAACCCTTGCTTTACAAAGAAGGTAGAGAAAGAATAAAAATGTAATCAACACTAAAAATCTATAACTCAAGGGTTTTGATTCAACTCCTTTGCTCCTCACCTAGCCCAGATCCTGATCCACTGGTTTTTTATCAGTTTACTTTTTCCCCCTCTCCTTTTAATCCCTGCTTTATGATTTATCAGTCCTAGCTGAAATGTTTCACTTGTGACTATTCTCTGTCTTCAATCTTAAACCTCCTCTGTGCCCTCCTCTCCACATTTCTGCTTAATTCCATTGAGTTCGATATATTTCTATACCAAACTCTGTGTATGTGTACAAATCCTTTTGGGATTCGGGTAAGAGTAGGGTTCATGAGATACCTGCTCTCTCTTCAATTTCTGTACATTTTTCTCCCACACTTCAGTTTTGAGAAAGTTTCTTCCCCTTCCTTATTTCTTCCTGACCATGCTCCCTTTCCCTTCCTGGTCTTTCCTCTTTCAAAAACAATACAACAGAACAACATCCCCTCCACACACACACCCCACACACCCCCAGGCCTTTGCATTTATCTTTATTCTATCCTTTGAAGACAGTGGGATTCCGAAAGGACACCTGTCTCTTGTTCCCTATTAAAGTACTTCATCTCTTTCTAAGTTTCTGTCTCCTGTGTTTGTGTAGCAAAGATTCTACCCAACTCTAGTCTTTTCATCAGGAAAAGTAAAGTTTTCTATTCTAATAAAAGTCTATTTTCCCCCTGTAGGATCATACACAATGTTGTTTCTTTTGCCTTTTACAATACTGATTTCCAAGATTTCTTCTTCTTCATGGTAGTTGGAGCATACTCTTTTGTGATCCTGAAAGTAGCTCCTTGGTATTTGAGCTCTTTTTTTCTGGATATTTGCAGTCTTGTCTTTGCCCTGGGAGATTCAGCCTATAGCATAATCACATGCTTTCAATTTGGGTTTTTACTTAAAGGAGATGACAAACGGATTCTATTTTCATTTTACCATTGGTTCTAGTATATCTGAGCTGTTTTAAAATGATTTCTGAAAATGTGTTATCCAGGGGTTTTTTTGTTTTTGCTTTCATAGTTTTCTGAGAGTTTGATTCTTAAATCTCTTTCTTTAACCTCATAATAGTTACATTACGTATTCCTCTAGTTTATCAGTCTTTTGAATTTAGAATTTTTTTCTTGTCAGATGTAATCATTGAACTGTTCATTCTATTTTTCAGGGAATCCACTACTTGGGTTGTTTTTCACCAAGTACAAATAATCTTAAGCTATTTATTTTCCTTCTAAGTCTTTCTTCAAAGATTCTAATTTTATATTTTATCTCTTGCTTCACTTGTTGCAGCCACCCTTAGAATCCTTATGGGTAGGGCAGTGGATAGAGCACTGGCTCTGGAGTCAGGAGAACCTGAGTTCAAATCCAGCCTCAGGCACTTGACACTTACTAGCTGTGTGACTTTGGGCAAGTCACTTAACCCTGACTGCCTTGCAATTAAAAAAAAAAAAGAAGCCTTATGGGTAAGACTTATTTTTTTTCCCTCTGTGTAGTTATACATATGAAATTTATCTCTTCCTTTCACCGACTGTGTTTCTTCATCATATTCAGAGTTTTCTTCTGTTTATTCCTACTACCAGTCTCATTTCTTGGATTGACACTATGTGTTAGTCAGTCTCTGTTTTCTTCCACAATCTTGGTTGGGGTGGGCAGGCCCTGTTTGGGCCTGTCCCATCTGCATTCTGAATGACACTGCTACTCCACTACTGGATGAGGGGCTGGGACTAAGCTCCATCCTTTGTGATAATATTTAGCTTCTTCCCTCGTCTCCTGGTGATCAAATTAAAGTGTTGACCTTGACCCATCTCCATCTCCTTCTTGCACAATCCCCAGCTGGGAAGTTGTTCTGTCTATCTCTTTGACAGGTCAACTGGAGGTCAGAAATGGTGCTGGTCTCAGGCTTCCTGTAAAGTTGTACAGTATGGGCATCCTGGCATTGTACTGGCCTTATCATCTTGCTTTGTCGCTGAGCGTTGTTCTAAAGTATTGAGGGTTAAAAGCTTGGAAACAACAGTATACTGTAGTAGTGATGGAAGACTAAAGTTATCCAGAAAGCTCCTGGAGTTCTTTTTCTGCTTCAAGCAGAAGAGTTTGTTTCTTGATTTGACTTAATCAATCAGCATTAATTACTTGCTATGTGCTAGGCATTGTGGTAGATGCTGGGGTACAAGCACAAAGAATGACATGGGAGCTCTTCATTTTGGCTGTAATATTTCTGGCACTTTTCCTCTAGGTAGTTTCTTCCAGGAGGTGACCAATGGATTCTTTTTATATTTTGCCCTCTAATTCTTAGAGATTTGGGTAGTTTTCACTTATGATTTCTTGAAATACAGCATCTAAGATTTTTTTAATCATGTTTTTCAGTGAATCATCATTATGGTTTAATCATGATTAAATCATTTAATCATGGTTTTCAGTGAATCCAATGCTTCTTAAATTCTCTCTCCTTGACCTGTTTCCTAGGTTAGTTGTTTCTGAATCCCCTATTTTCTTCTATTTTTTTCAGTTTTTTGATTTTGTTTAAATATTTCCTACTTTCTCATATAATTATTATTTTGTGTATTCTCTTCTAATTCCTTGCTTCATGTTGTCTAGGTATTGATGTAGTCCTTGTGGAAAATCCATTTTTCCCGTGAGTTTCTGTTTTTACTTGTCTATAGACAGCTACAATAATTTTTTATGCTAGTTGATATCACTTTACTCCTTCAAATGAGAAATTTTTTGTAAAGCACTTTGAAAACCTTAAAAGCATTATGTAAAAATTAGTGATTATGACGACACCTCTAGCTTTGGTTACTAAATTAGGGCTTTGTGCAAGGGCTGGGCTCTGTTCCATGCTGTGCTTTTGGGTGGGCTGGCCAGCCCAACATGATCTCACCTAGAGTCACCCGGATTCCTATGCTGACCTCCTCCTCCTCCTCCTCCACCCCCCACGTTTAGGCATAACTGGATCTTTGACGTTTTAAGATCTGAGTCTTCAGGGTTCTTTATGAAATCTCAGGACAGAGTTTTAGGCTCTCAGAACCTCTAGGTGCCTGATCTGATCTGTCCTGGTCAGTCAGCTGCCCCAATATACTAGTAACTCACATTATCACATTGGGGACTAACTTCCCAATGTGGAAGCCCAACTATCCTGGGAATTTCTCAGAGCATGCTTGCCCTTCCTTCATAGTCAGTTCATGAACATTTATTAAGCGCCTACCATGTACCAGCCACTGGGTAAGCACGTGCAGGCCACATGTGTCCCTGGCCCCTCTCTGCTAGCATTGGGAGGCTGCTGGCTTAATTGGGTGCACTGGCAAAGGTGTTGGTGACAGCCCCCATTTCTAGTAGCCCATGGGCTGCTAGATGACTTTTTATGCAGTTTTAGAGTGGAAAGAATCACTTACTATAGTTTCTCATTGGATTCTGTGATCATTATTCAGTTTGGTATGAATTCCAGGTTTTTGCTGAAGTTGATGTGTGAGAGCTGGACAGTCTGCCTCCATTCAGGAATCCATCTTCGCTCCAAGTGTCCTCATGATTTAAAGTCTCTAAGACCCCCAAATATTTTTCTAATTGGCCCGTCACTGTTCCTGAAATACCCCAGCAGAGATTCATCTCTTTGAATTAAAGATTTACACACGCAGGAATTGTTAAAACACAGATGCCCCATACAAGGGTACCACACTAGCAGATGTCAGTCATGACCTTGGCTGGGTTTGGTTCAGAGTTGTTTTCCAGTAACATAGCTGGCTGAGATGAGATATAGTACAGAGGTAAATTCTAATTGGGAGCCAGAAGGAAGAAAAGAATGGGAGGGAGAAGAAAAGATCAAGGTCACAGAGTATCATTCAGTTCAATAAACATTTATTAAACACGTCTTATGTTTAGTGCACTGTGCTAGGCACTAGGATACAAAGATGAAAAACAATATAATCTCTGACCTCAAGGAGTTTTACAGTCTCACAGGGGCCATGACAAGTCCACAAATAACAACTATAATGTGGATGCCTGAGGAGGGCAGGCCTAGGTGGGACACAGTAATCAGATAGGGCATTCTGGGTGGCCAGGGAACAGTAGGATAGCACTTGGGGAAGGCGAAAGGTGCTGAAAGAGAAGGGCTTATGCCTGCCAAAGACAAATCATCTACTTCACAATTTTGCCTAGGGCCAGACCTAGGTACTAATTTTGAAAAAAGTCTAGAAAAATACTACAGGGGCCCCCTGTGCAAATCTGCACTAATCCAGGGTGAACAAGCAGGGTTCAATTTCAATCTGCTATTGACCATTGTTTAGCAGTATGCTAATGAATGAGGATACCCATCCCTGGATTATTTGCTTTAAAATAGAGTCTATTTAAAATTCCACTATATTATAGTAGTACCTTATATTTAAAGAAGAGCTAAATTCTCCAAGGAGCTTAAAGCCATTTCTAGATACTTATTATACCCCAATAAAATAACTGGGTTCTTTAATATTAAATGCAGAGCTTTCCAACGATGGCTAGGGTTTAAATAGGTAACTTGAAACTTTTTAGAAAAACTTCATGCCCTGCTATAAAATCAGATACATTTGTTATGACAGCAACCACCATATACAAATTATAATCTGCCCACATGTAAAGTACATACATACACTGTACATAGACTTATATTAGCCATATAAAAATACATCATTAACGCTTCTAAGGGTGACAAAACCAATAAATATTGCAATTTTAAAGCATCTACTTTGCTGCACTGCTGAGGACAATTAAGTGCTGTAAACAAGAAACTAAGATAAAAAGAACGAAAGTGGCCCAGGGAACTAGTGACATAGTTTCAGATTATAGACATGAGTTCTAGGCATAGGTTCCAATATTACTCATGTTTTTTAATTTCCCAAAGCACTAAATGTGCCTAAGTTATCAATTCTCCAAAATACACAGCAAAAGAAGACTAAAACATTAGGACAATTATGTGGGGGCCACACACAAATAAACATACAAACATATATGTATGAGCTAGATTACATACACACACACACATACATATATATATATAATATGTACAGAGCTCAACCGCATTTAGTGAGATAAAGGAATGTCAGCAACATATTTAATTTTAAAATGAAACTTCAAAAGTTTTAGTTGCTAAACCAAATCTAGCAACCAAACAGAACATTCTCCTCATCCCTCATTTTTCTTTAATTTTCTTTCTCCTCTCACTAGGTGGAATTATCTTAAGTAATTGAATTTTACTGGAGAGAAAACTCAATAGTAAGTCTACTATGGGAAATAGGGCACAAGCATCAAAAGAGGGTTAATCAAGAAGTTTTTAAAATGGTGTCGCCTTGGATGAGCTAAGAAAATTTTGCTCACCACTACAGACAATTAAGACCAAAGAACCAACCAACACCAGCAAGTCTTTCCAAGGTCAAAGAAAGACAGTTTGCTACCACCAAACAAATGTTTTGGCTAGCGATATTCCACTGGAGTTTAGGAAAACTCTAATTCTCAATGTACTTCTTAAAACATTGTAACGTGGGAACTGGCAAAATGTAGACATATTTTTTTGGGGGGAGAAAATTTGATATTTCAATTTATATATGGGGTTTTAACCTATCCTCTCTAACACATATGGTTACAGAGCTTTGGAATAGTTGCATCTGTACCTGGAAATCCTCTGTCAGCCAAAATGTCTTACTGCAGATGAAGTAATATGGATACATAATGCTACTGCCCCTCAACAGTTACATTTCTTTAAGCTAAACAGAGTTTCTATTCTCTGACGTTCTGATTCTTCCAAATTGTTCTCTTTTCATAGCACTACTTTCTCCCACCTTTGGGCTACTCACTGAACTAGGCTGGGGCAGAACTGCCTGCTGTGAAAAAATCATAAACTAGGAAGAATCTTTCTGTCTCTTATAGTAGTTTGATACTGGAAGACTATCACAGAGCTGTGATGTCTCATGATATAATACGATAGCTTATGATATAAGCTCCCATCATGGAGCATTCACATTAGAAACTAACTCGAGAAGGGGCTTCCTATCCCTCTACCTCTTATCAAAAAACAGTTGAAAGGAAGAGTAAGTGCCATGATGGGAAATGAAACTATAATGAGAGGTAAGGAATTTTACAATCAGACGATGTGTTAGGAGGCTCCTATTTCTCAAGATGTGGATGCTCAGGACCTAGAACATACTAGGCTACTTCAGGACAGATATAATATCCTATATGGGCCAATTCCAAATCCCCAGTCAGTCATCTTTTCTCATCATAGATAACCTGTCTAAGAGATCAATATGACTAAAGAGCCCATCTAATACGTAGCAAATTCAAACAGTATGATTTAGACCAGATATATCACTAAATCACACCAATGAAGGGATCATAAGGAGGCAGGGTTAGGTCCCACATAGATTCTAAATCATTTCTATAAATGGAGAAGTAAAACTTCACTCTTAAGATAAAACAAGAATTTCTGGTGATCTAGGCTTAGCATGCAGTCTCAGTGCTTATGGAGCAACGGTCAATGATGATCCTTATGGAGAGCAGATCCTTTTCTCCCAACCAACGTCCTCCACAAGAAGCACAGCCACAGGAGCAGTAGAGAAGTGTGTCTCAATGACGTACCCCAGGCCTGAGTGTTGAAGCAGTGCGGGGAGCTGTCAGGTCTATACTGGAAGAAAGGAAGAACATTCGTGGTCCGCTGAATTATCTTATTCACAAGCTGTGGCTTATTTCTTGGGTTTCTCCAGAATGTTGAGAAATTTTCCCCGAGTCATCTCTCTAGCTGAAATTATAAAAGAAAAGCAGGGTCAATGGTAAACATTACACTTGGTAACGGGATCAGAGAACACAGACTGATTAAAACTGGCCTCAGTTCTGATACCGAGTATGTCTGTGATAACAGTTAAAAAACCAAGAGCCATCCAAAACTTGGCAAAATTATTCTAAAGTTGTTCGCATGGATCCAGTTTATAGCCTATGTGGTAGGACAACTACTAAGGGCTTTAGAAGGTCAGAAAAAATTCCCACAGGCCATCACCTCCAACCTACTTTTAAAGATCACAATGGAATTCTCAATCGCAGTAGAAAAATAGTATTCCTTATCCAGTATTATCAATTTGTGAATGGCATAATCTAACGTGCTCTCTCTATCTCAAGGGACTTGCTTATGATACAACTGAAATTAGAGAGCCTCTCCAGGCTTTTGGCCTCTGGATGTTTATAATCTCACATTGAAGTCAGAGCTCATTTGCCCTCGTCTCTAAGGAGTGGTAGTCCCCGGATGCTGTAACATAACACAGTTTATATTCCCTCAGCGCAGTTCATCTACGGATGATATAATAAAGTAGAGTTTATAGAGCTTTGGTCTTCTCTCTCTTGGCATTGTCAGTTCCTAGATATTTAATATAGCCAGGCAGGGTTTATGTGTCTCTCTGACTTTCGGCACCATCAATCTCTGGTGCTGTAGTCACAACAGGGTTTATACAGCTACTTTCTTCCACATGAGGCTTTGAAATGAAAGTGTAACATTTCTCAATTACAAGACCTTACTTAGAAGCCCTCTGTTGTGTTCATTTTATCCAAAGTAGCATGAAAAAGCCCCCATGTGGTTTAACTGTCATTTTATTCTCTCAGCCATTTTCAGGACTGATGAAAAGTATGAAATGAAAGTCTCAGAAGCTAGAATGGGCAGCTTGGAACAGTGGGAACGGCAGTGCCTCTGGCCTCAGAGGAGCTGGGTTCAAATCCCACCCACGCTTACTACATGTGACCTTGGCAAATCATCTCCCAGGGCCTCGGTTGCTTCATTTGTAAAATAAGAGGGTTAAGCCAGTTTGAAGTCCCTGATAATTTAAAGATCCTATGAGGTAAAGAGACTGGTTTGCTTGGCTCAGTGCTCTTAATGGTGTTTTGGTTCTGTCTATGGGAATGGGAAGGAATGAGAATTAGCTGAAAGAATAAGGCATTTGTCAGTATTAGCCACCTTAATGAGTCTCTATATACAAAACAGATACTGAAAGAATGCATTTTCACTTCTACTCCTAAATTTAAAGCTAGCTGGCATTCATACAGGGTTTGCAAAATACTTCACACAAATTATCACATTTGATCCTCACAACTCTGTGAAGTAATAGAACCATTATTATTTCCATCTTACAGATGAGGAAACCGAGGTTCAGAAATGAAGTAACTTGTCCATGGTCAATGACTGGTCACATAGCTAAGAAGAGATTCAAATGCTACTATAGGCAGGAGAACATAACCACAAAACTCTGTAGCAACCAGGAGACAGGAGGGAAAGGCTCTACTAGAGTGCAATCCTTGTAATGCTCTGCCCATCTCTATATCAACCAAGTTCTCAGAACTCAGAACTTTTCCTTGGGATGGAAATCCCATCAAGTTTCAGGTAGCAGAAGGCTCACAGAGAGGTCTTTCAGTGGGGTGGGTTAGTTCCTTACTGTGGCCTAGGAAGGTGGGCGCTCCAAAGACTACCTAGAACCACCTAACTCTTTCAGGTTAATAATGTAACAACCACCACTGATAAAGGAGCTTTAAGGTTTACAAAGCGCTTTCTCCACAACCCTGTGAGCTAAGTAATCCATTTCTCACCTATAGATGAGAAAACATGCCCAAAGAAGATCACAGTAACAATAAGAATTCCTATTTCAGTAGTTTCTGAACAGAAATGCTGGATCTCTCAAATTGACCATGGCTTTCTTCTACTTTCTCTGATTATAGACTTTTTAAGGGACAAAACTGTAATTCAGCGTCCTCATTTGCTTTAGCAAAGTCCCCACGATTAAAGGGAAAAAAGCAAAGGTGACCCCTGGGGCTCCATCCTCCAGAGCAGTTGACAAGTTTGCACTCAGATCACAGGGTCACAGACTTAGAACTGGAAGGGCCTTTAGAGATGAGCGTGCCTAACTTCCTTCACTGGACAGATAGGGAAATCTGAGGCTCGGAGAGGTCAAACAGCTTCAGAAGATCTTCAAGCCTCAGATGCCTCGCTTTTTGACATACTTTGATGGGGATAGATGGGAATAGATGGAAAGCAGAAGAGGCCTTTAATCCAGACATGAAGCAACAATGACATGAGATTACTAGTTTCCAAAAGTTCCAAAGAAACTCCTTCCTCGAGCTTGGTATCATCATATAAATCTGTCTTGGCCTTTTTTGCAGATAGTCTAACCCGATGTGTGGAACGAAAAAACCTGGCCCAGTCTACTGGGCCGCCTGCCTTAGGGTACTCATTGCCTGAGGCCTTTAAAAAGCATATAGAATGAATGATTCTAGAGCCCAGCTGGTTCCACCGCTCTTGAAAGTTGCCATGGGGCAATGCAGGAATCCAGAGTTGGCTAGGATCCCTGCAACCAAAAGCATTTGGGCCTGGAGCACTGCCACTGGTCTCACTAATTATCTACTCACCCTGCTGCACTTTTTGCTTCAATGTCCCTTGGATTTTTGCCTACTTTCCAATGTCTTTCCAAAATGAAAGGTTGTCAATATTTTAAGATGCCACAATGAGCAAACATTTAATCTGAGAGATCAAAAGAGTTTAAAAGGAAAAAAAAATGAACTTTCCAATCTCTTCCAGTGGCTTGAACTTCTTGAATTTAACAGATCCTTTTCCCTTCACTCACTCCTCCCCCTTCAACCTAATCCAATCGCAGAAGTGGCAGACACCACTGTAAAAGTAGAAGCAATTCAAAAGACATCATCGTCTACTTGGGAGAGGAGAAAGTTTTCTCTCCTGCCAGTCCCATATAGGAGATATACGAATACATGACACCTCCGTTCCCCAAAAGAGGGCTGTGCCCTATAAATCAGATTGTAAGCACCAGCCCCTTCTGTGCAGAGAGACAGAAATTACTGTGGGTTGGGGGTTGCTCCAGAGCACGTGCCCTCCTGTTCACTTGTCATCAGAGATGTTAACATTTCTGATTAATTCACAGACCTCTCCTTTTATTCCTCATTTCTTTATCCATGCTATCGTGCTCTGCTGCAGCTTAAAGATTCTTACCGACCTGCTACAATAATCACCACCCGCTAAATGCCACCCCCCAACCTGGGGAAATTGTTTAGTGATGCCAACCGCGCTTTTAATTTGCAAGACATCAGACACAGAGGTAATTTATACCAACATCTGTTCATTTCTGACTTCTGAAACAAACACACATGCTGCTACAAAATCCCATTAGGAGCAGGAAACAGCCTTCTGCTATTCTGCATTCTTCTTCTACACACACACACACACACACACACACACATACACGCTTTTATTTTTAAATGTATATCACTAAAAATCTTCCAACAAGGACCCCAAATTTCTTTTCCATGTAGAAATGGAAATGGTATAGAAATTTCACAAAACGTTTCTCTTATTCCTGTTTAGCGCCTATCCTTCTTTCAGGTTTTCAATATTACAGTTAAAATGTATTCCTGGTTCTCTATGACTGGGCAAGGTTATTTCCTTCTAAGCTTAGTTTTTGTTTTGTTTTGGTTTTTTTTTCCCCAGCTCTCTCTCAATCCCCAGTTTTCCTTTTGTGCTATAGTTAGGGGGAAAAGCAAGACAAAATACCACAGTGCTCCTAAACAAAACTAGTCTTGTCTCAAGCCAGTACCATTTATTGACCTTTTCAATCAGACATTTATGATTCCAGGCTTTTTGTTCAGAGAAATAAGAATCAGAAGGAAATGCTACCACCACATTGTAATGCCTGTGGCCAGAGGAAGTGTCAATCTGCAGATGCCACAATCTGTGCTGTGGAGAACAGAAACATGACCCTTCCATATCAAATCATGATTTACAGAACTTTGTAGGGGCAGCACATGTTTGCAAAATGATAAATAAACAAAAGATACAATCTCCACAGGGTTAATAAATGAATTATTCCAGTTAGTATGGGAAAGAGGTTTCTGGCTATATACTATTTTAAGATGCTGAATGAGTAAATTACAAAGAAACCTTAAATTTAGATTAATCTTTTTACTTCCTTATCAGTTGCCCCTGGACTTCCACATACACAAAGACTAGGAATCATTGTAGCTATAAATAATTGGGATTTTTATGCCAGTTGAATGATGGGACCATGATCTCCAAACCCAATTTCGTAGGTATCTACCTAAAAAGGTCAGGGCTGAAGGGAGGATTCTATCTTTTCTTGCTGAGAGGGAGGAACAAGGTTTAATATAGCCTCTTCTTTAGAACTTCCAATCCTGCAATCCCGCATTTAGCCTTGCCTTTGGCTCCTTTTCCATGATGACTGTCCCCAAACTGCTTTCTGCAGTAAATTTTGCGGTGGCTGGTTGAAAAAGATTCAGTGGTATAGATTGATTTCTTACAAGTGAGGGAATGAGGGATTACCCGGCAGTCATGCTGGTTAACAAGATTGGGTACAGAATCTCTTGTAAGATCAGCCCACTCTGCCAGGGCTTTGCACCCTTTCCCCATGACATATGGGTTTCATTACAAAGATTTTCCAGATTTTAACTTCTAGGCAGCTGCCAGCATAATTCCACTAGATCTTTATGTAGGGAACAATTTAAAGCTTAAGTAACTTTTTAATCAAATAGGGACATGACATTTGGTTTTCAATCCCAAATGAAAACTACTGGTCCTGACACTCTTTCCAGTGTTACAAAATAACAAGAAAAATGCAATGAGGATAAAAAGGATCACTACCAATGATTCTCCCACATCTCTAAGAAAAACATGTCCAAATGCACTACAAGACATATGGACGGTCAGGAAAAAAATAAAGCAAACAGCAATGTGAATGACTT